AGGGTTAGTTACTTTGTTTTCACACAAAAAAACATAATTTACCAGTTTATTTACAATGTATTAATCTCGAACTCACGTTAATGAGAGCACCACAACGCATGCGTTCTGTGTTGACGCGAGAGCAGACGTTGATGCGCAAACAAAGACTACGTTTATATGCAGCCAATTTTCGGGTTATGGTCGGGTTAAGGTCACTATTCGGGTTTCTGAAACACTAGGAATAACCCGTTTACATGCGTGAGCAGAAAGAGTTTCTCCTGTATACATGGAATTGCAATATCCCGATGTAAACGGCGACGCACGGTTAGCGTCAAGACGTACGGACAACCCAGAGCCATAGAGAGAGAGAGTTACGACACTCCCATAGACCGCCATAGGAACTTTGGAATGCGGAAGTAACGCGTGTCGTGGAGCGGCCAATAGTTCCAAACACTGATAGTTTCTCCATTGAACCCCATTCATTTTCAGTGCTTCCGAAGTACGCTCGCTGGTAAATTAATGAAATTACTGTATTTTTTTACTTTTACACACATTAGCCGACCTCTCGTGAAACTAGTCTGTAGTTATATTTTATGTAGCCAGTTTTAGTAAATGTTTATTGGAAGATAATAGGTTAATTGCAGCTATAGCTTACGTGACCAACACTTCACTAACGTTAGCTAACTTACGTAACTGATGTATATAATATATAATATTTTTAATAATATTTTATATGTATGTGTATATATATATATATATACATATAACGTTAGCCTATATATAATATAATATATACATACACACACACACACACACAATTCATTTATTTAAATGGGTTAGGGTTATGCATATATGTGCTTATGTATTTAGGAACATAGTTAATTCACTCATTAACTATCTCTCCGGTTTAATTTTATGAAGAATATTTTTCGGTTGAATATTTACCGAACATTGCTGTATATATCGTTGCTTTCTACGTTATGGGAGCAGTCTATTTCCCTCCTAAATCATTCATTTGTACATGCACAGCGTAATTATTTATATTTTATGTTGGTTGGAGTTCTGAACGGACTGCAGACCTCTTTGCGTGATCACGAAGGTAGGCTAATGGCTGAATCGGAATTTATAAGCAAGATCACGGAAATCAATAGCCTAATACAGCCCAGTTGTGCTAAAATAAATATCATGAGACGTCCATCATCAGATGAATGACATGGAAAAGTTAAGTTAGAGCCGCTAAAGCCAGCTACTACCCATGCGAACATGAACACTAAGCTTTTCCCTCCAAAAATATAGCCTAAAACTTATCTAAGTTGTCACCCTGCCTCTCTAAATGCAAAACTGACATTAACAAAATGCAATAACAGCTGAAAAAGTACTTGGGTGTGTGTTTTATTTTATATTTACCGTTTAATAATGCAATCGCTGCTGTCTGTCCATAGAAGAACATGACAGCCCGCGTACGTTTTGGAACTATTGGGGCTTACATGAACCACGTGACAGCCGTCGCGGCGACATCAAAGCGTGTCGCAACTCTTTCTCTCTATGGCTCTGGGACAACCTTAAGACGCATTATGCGTCATTTCCGATTCTTCTTCCTGTATCCAAAGACAACAACAACAACAACAGCAGCAGCACGCGGATAATGAATAGTTCGGGGCAGATAGCGATCGCCTTTGTTTGCGCTTTGGTGCTGGTACTGACCTCGCTCCAAAAGTATGCTGTGCTGCGTCTCGCCATGTTTACTTCCGGTATACTGCACGCGGGTTTTTGTATGCGCTGAGAAGTTCCTCTACTCAAAAGACCAAGATTCCTTGCGAATAGAACATGCGCAGAACACAAATCACTATGGGGATATGCCGATGCGCGTTTACATGACCAAAAATTCGGGTTAGAAAAGGGGTACCCCAGGTATCATATCCCGGTTTTTAAAATCCGGGCATATTCGGGTTTTTGCTGGTGTTTACATGGCCGTGCGCGACCGGGTTATTGCTAATATCCCGGTTTTGAACGGGTTGTTGGCTGCATGTAAACGTAGTCAAAGTTTTTTTCAGCAAACAAAGCACTTGCGTCGCTTCATAAAATTGAGGTTAAACCACTGGAGTCTCATGGATTACTTTAATGATGTCTGTATACCTTTTTTGGGCTTGAAAGAGGTCGTTGCGTAGCTGTCAATGGAGGGACAGAAAGCTGATTTCATCAAAAAGATCTTTTTGTGTTCTGAAAATGAACGAATGTCTGACATATTTTGGAATGACTTCAGTGTGAGTAATTAATGACAGAACTTTCATTTTTGGGCGAACTATCCCTTTAAGACAACCAATATGGCACCTGAGCTGCTAACTGGAGAACAGTAACATCAAATGTCATTGATTCTCATTTGTTTTGTGGCCAAAAACATCATTATGTCAAACCTGCAACATATTTGAATCGAGAATAAGTTTCATGGATGAATTGCTTTGAGGGCGAATAATAGCAAATAAATCACGCAAGTATGACTTCAGAGCACTTGGAAAATAGCGCACGAGTCATATGGACAACTTTTAGGGTGTTTCACAGAAAAAAATAGCATCTTATAGGTTTGGAACTTATGAGGATGAGCAAATAATAATTTATTTTGACTAATAAGGTGAAGTTGAATCAAAAAAGATTAATTTCTGTAGAAACCTATGGAAGTGTATGCTGAGCATAAAGCCTGAATGTAGTTAATTTTGTAACCTTGAAACCATAAACACATCCATAACAGTTTAAAAATGCTTCACTGTCGGCTATATATTTTGACAATCATGTTACCTTTTAAAATCAGTTAAGCTCTTTGCAGTGCTCTGAGAAGGTCTTGATGTCTACCAATTATTTACCATGACAGAAGCAGACATTAAAAAAGCATGGCTGCAGGGACAGTGGACACTTTAAATATGCACACTTTAGTCTAGTCTAGTCTACGAACTGCATAAACAGATGCCTTCTAAAGTGATATCTTAACCTTATCTCAGAACCTCATAAGTGAATGATGTGCAGCGGTATACAAGTTTGAACAAAGTCTCTTTCAGGCAAGTCATTTCACTCGGCGGCCATCTTTGAAATGCCCCTCGGGCAGCTATTTCAGTCATGCAAGTGCAGCTCCTCTCTTTGAATGGAGAAACATCAAATTCTCCAAGCTTATGATAAAATTTCATATTTCCATATTGGCTCTTTTATTTAGAAGGCAGGACTTATTCCTCCATTTTACACGTTACACTTTCTCCCATGCGTCCGAGAGCTTAAAGGGATGGATGCAGGGTAGGAAGGCATCATGGCTTGTTCGAATCCAATGTTAGTTTCACTTCCTGTCTCCTGAGATACAACTGACTGATTTTTGAAGGCAGCATAGATGTATCCTTTGCTGCCTTTGATATCCCACAATCCTGTGCTTTCTATTCTGTGACAGTTGAGATAGAAAGCAAAGATGGTGTCTGAAAGTTGCGGTTGGTGGTCAGTTTGTGTGTAAATGTAAATTTTGACCAACATTTTTACGTCATTTCTAGTAAGAAATTACTATTACAGTAATTAAATGTTTACTTAGTTCTCACCAAAGCTCGCTCTGTTTTGCTGTAGATCATCAAACCGTTACACTGCCTCGGAAATCTGTCCGAAATCAGTTTTGTGAGGTGGCCTACAGTCGAGCACGAACTCTGCCTGCAAAGTCACTGCCTGATAAAGAAGCGAGGCAACGAGTCAGCTGCCTAGTTTTCGGACGCAGCCCTGGTAATACAAGTGAACTTTCTTTGATGTTAGCATGTTGCTAAGCTAACGGTGCAACACTCTCTAATAAGCATAATTACACAAATTTTGGGGTAAGACAGTCAAGTTTTACTATTTGTCAATGCACATTATCATACATTTTTTTAAAAAAAGTAATATAATATAGCCTAACATTTCTAAATTTGGACTCGCTACAGATGAAAAGATCATTTTAGAGAGGCTGCACTTAAAAAGAAATATTTTAAACCTGGTTATTTTTCAATTAATTATTACTTATTATTATAGCCTAAGTATGTAATATATACTGTGCACACACACACACACACACACACACACATATATATATATATATATACATACATACACACACCCACACCTACAGTATATTGTGAGATTTCCTGCTGTATATACATACAGTATCTCACGAAAGTGAGTACACCCCTCACATTTCAGCAAACATTTTAGTATATCTTCTCAAGGGACAATACTATAGAAATGAAACTTGGATATATTTTAGAGTAGTCATTGTGCTGCTTGTATAGCAGTATGCTGGCAACAAAAGTGAGTACACCTTGAACAAGTGTTGAAGAGTACTATTGTTTAGTTTCTTCAGAAACATTGGGTAACAGGGTACAAAGAACTTTGAACGCAGGGGAAATGAAGGTGGGGAGGTGAAAATGAGAGGAAACATGCTGGGAAACAGCAGGACAATTATTTTACGGTACGTACGGACATTCTCTGAAATGTCTAAATAAACGATCAAGTCGAGAGAAAAAGGGGGACAGATTCTTTTCATAGACATGTGGGCTTTTATTCACGTTATTTGTACGGAGAACAGAAAGAAAGTCCCTGAGTGTTTTGTTCAAGTGAATAAAACGCAGTTAGAAAGAACGAGCAATTCATTACTTTTCCAAGTACATCAGAAAAAGTGTTACACCACAGGTCGCCTAATTTGAACTGTTGAGTCATAAAATGAAAGCGTCTGAGCCTAGCTGTAAAAATAATAATCATAATGATGACCATAAAATAAATACACATTATATGGTGTGTTAATGCAAAGTGCTTTTAAAGTCAAAATACACATTAAATTGACTATTTACTTTTTAAAAACATGCTCCTGGTCTTATGAAGGATTCATCAAAGCAATGTTGTCTTCACTCAGAAGCAAGTCACTTTATGGAAGAAAAATGGGTTGTTTCATAGTTTCTAGTTGGTACTGGACATCTAATTGCAGCTGATATAATTCAAACTAACATTAGTTTATTGAGTAGGACAGTTTCTGAAAACTGCAACAGCTGATCAATCTTCCTTCAAATTCTTTGGCGAAATGAAAACATTTCTGATCGCCTCAACAAGGACTTTACGCAAAATCAGAGCTGTTAGAAGCATTTACAGCTCAAGATGGTCAGCCGTTCTGTTCCTGGATCACGTATTTGTGAGACAGCACAACGTTATTGTAATCAAAGTCCTCATCCAGATGGAACGGAACAACCTCCTCACTTTCATCCTAGAATAAACATTTTACAGGTTAATGAAGAATTTTACAGAGTCTCTGTGAAATGCAACAGAAAATTGCATCTCAGTGTCTGAGTTACTGCCTGAGCTTGACTGCTCTCAGAGAGACGTGTGTACCTGATTCTCAGCGGCACTGGGAGTGTGTGTCCTCTGGTCTGTGAAAGTCGAGGAGATCTCCAGCAGTGTGTGGTGACAGAGCGATGAAGAGGAGACAGCTATCAGATCTTCTTCAATCTCACCTGGTAGTGCACATGTACCTGACAACACACAACAAGACACGCATGAATATTCAGTTTCTTTTACCCAAAGCCATCCATCAGCAGTCATTTACAATCAGTTTCTTCTTTTACAGTCATTATTTACTCACTCTCTCTCATGTTGTTCGAAATTATTTCATTCTTTCTTCCCGTGGAACACAAAAGAAGATATTTTGAAGAATGTTTGTGCTGCCGGCGATTACCATATAATGAAAGTGGATGATGACTGATATTGTCAAGCTCCAATAAAGAAAAACAATACGTCACTGTATGTATGTATGATATTATGAGTCTTCTAAAGCCATTCGGTACATTTTTGAGAGAAATTTTTATATATTATTTGCTAAATTTCATCCCTCCCTTTTCTGCAAAGTGAAATTTACACAAAAACATCAAATAAACCCTGAGACTTTTGGTGTAGACACAAGAAACTTTGATGTTAATGGTTTATTGTGTGCACATGACATTTTTAGGGGAAGATTATTTCATTTTAGAGGTTTCTTGTGCATGATTTTTGTTTTGTTTTTTTTTTATAAAAAAAATGTACATCCGCATAGGGGAAGATTTTTTTTATTTTGACAAGATTTTATTAAATGTAATAAAAAAAATATTTATTTGACAAACGCACACATCAAAGTTTCTTGTGCAAATGTAAAACTAGAAAAACATTTTAAATATACGCAGAAAAACGTTCATGTTTGAGGTATCTCGTGTTCACAAGAAAGTCTGATATTTAAATGTTTAAAAAGTCTCATCGTTGGGGAAGATTTTTTATTTAGACAAGGAGATTTTAAGCAAATAACAAATTAAATGTCGTAAAAATGTTTTTTTTTACACACATCAAAGTTTCTTGTGCAAATTTAAAAGTAGAAAACTTTTTAAATATATGCAAAAAAAAAACGTTCATGTCAGAGGTATCTTGTGCGCACATGAAAGTCTGAACTTTAAATTTTGAAAAAAGTCTCATAGGGGAAGAATCTTTTATTTTTGAGATTTACAAAAGAATTTAAGTTTTGGAAAAAAAAAATCCTTTTACGTTCTACAGAAAAAATAAAGTGTTAAGAGTCTGGAACAACATCAGGATGAGTACATTTTGATTGAACTTACACTTTATGTTAAAAAGGAAGGCTTAATGTGCCAACAAGCTGTTTTTGTCCTGCATCTCTGGATTTTTGCAGTAGCTTATGTGTGAGTGAGAAAGACATAAGGCTTGGCAAGAGCTCGATTGATGCTGATGTTAATTAAACAGCTAATTACTGGCACAGTGAAAGTCATAGTTTCAGCTGCTGGGTGAGGACCAGGCATCTGGGGTGTAGCATGCATTTCTGCGTGTTTGTTTGAGTGTATACAACACCATGTGTGTGTGTGTTTGTGGACTGCACACCTCTAAAGAAACCCCACTCACCCATGGCTTTCAGAACAAGGTGGTCTCAAAAACAAGACCATTAACCAGCTCACTAAGGAAACACAGAAAGAAGCTTCACGCAGCTAATGAATCTGAAGGCTGTTGCTGTGATGCCATGCCGTGAACCTCCCTGACCGGCATGCAGAGGCGTGGTTCATTAAAACCGTAGGTACCCTGTAGCTCTTTTTGAGCTTTGATCCGCTTTGACCAGAACCGCCTTCCCCTCAAACCATTTTAAGATTCATCTGGATGGCCAGGCGAGTCACTGAACCCTGAAGTAAAGACCATTATTACTGTTTAGCACTGTACGTTTCAGAGGTCACGTCAAGGTTATTATAGTTTTGAAAAATTCACTATTTCCTATTTTCTTTAATTTTGCAGTTGGGTTTAGTTACTTTTAATGGGAAATAATGGGAAATAAATCTTTTTTTTTTTTTTTATGTATGCATTATATAGATTCATATTTCATCCCTTGTAACACCACAAATTGTTCTTGTTACACATTTCTAAACAACACAGAAAAACTTTATTTTACAGTGTTCTTGTTACACGTTACATGTATAGCAATAACTATAAATTATGCAAAATTACATGCAACTAACCCTGAACCAAACCCTAACATAAAGTAAGTACATGTAGTTAATTAATATTACTCGGTACTTAAATGCATAATTACCCTGTAACAAGACACCTTAAATAAAGTGTAACCCAACACACTATAGTTATCTTTTATTCTAAATGAATGAGTGTTTTTGACCGAATCCATTTGTTTGAGTGAACGGTTCAATGATTCTCTCATAAAGATGTCACGTGTTTTGTTCCTGAATGAAACAGCATTTTTAAACAAATCAATGTGGTTGACTGAATGATTCAATGATTCACTTATAAAGACAGTCACTTGTTTTGATCCTGAATGTAACAGCATTTTTGAAAAAATCTATTTGGTTGACTGAACGATTTAATGATTCACTCATAAAGACGTCACTTGTTTTGTTCCTGAATAAATCAGCAGCTTTAAACAAAATGATTCAGTCAGTGTATTCATGATTCAAATGATTTACTCATAAAAGGCATTAAAGGTCATCAATGAAAATATGAAACTAAAATAATTTATGTAATTCTATTTAGTTTTCATTCAACTGTAGTGCACTTTTATATCATACAATCATATTTTTTTTTGCCAATTCCCATTTGTATTTTTATTTTGGTTACCAATTTTTCTTTTACTCTTAGTTTTTTCCTTTTCCATCATTTTAGTTCAGTTAGCAAACTTGCAGCAATAAAATGGCAAGAAAGTATTAATCTTAATTTTCAGCGACAAAATTAATATTTAAAAAAAATCTTATTTTACAGTCAAATTTTACAAAGCTATGGCCGGTTATGCAGAACACCAAACGCCCACTACAACCAACGGTACAGCGTCCTGCCGACTTCCAGCAAATGCTTTTTTTTTTCAAAGCCCAGCGAGCAAGGGCACGATTATTCATGCTAATTAAGGTGAAGTTCAGCATGCATCTTTTTGTTATTCAGTGGATAAGACTCTCATTATAAACACGCCACCTAATGACTTTTACATACAGCCTTTCCTCTGAGTTAACACTCTGATCACAGACAAGCTCAACAAAAAACACGGAAGCCCTGCTCTGAAATGTAAGCCTCTCCAATCAAAAGAGGCTTTCTTTCCTACAACTATTTTATTTATTTTTGTATTAAACTGGTCATTGGAGTTTAAATGAGGCTCTCTGGCACTCAAGAAAAGAGCGACTCATTACAAGCCTGCACAGCGAGCGCTAAGCCTCGCCAAGCGAGCGTTTGCCCCCGGCTCTAATGATGAGGGAGCGGTTTAGAATTTGCATGCATTGAATATGTGTAATAAATGGTAATATATTTAAATCAAGCTGTATGACAGCTCTAATTACAAAACATAGCATTCACATGATATCCACTAAACCCTATTAAAGGTAAGGTGAGACCATGCAGTCCTTACATATGCACATGAAAAGAATATTTATGCGAGGATGCCGCACTTAAAATACATCCATACCGGTGATGCCAACATGTCGATGTATATTATGTGAATATTATGTGATTTGTGAAATATGAAAAAGATGACAAGAATTCACACCGATGTGCTTTACATAAGAAAAAAAGTGTAAAAACGTAAATAAAGACTCCAAATGTGCATCTAGGCCACTGTAATCTAGCTAATCTAAACTGACTCGGTGTAAAGTGACATGTTTTTAAATGTTTTTTTTCCGAGTAATAAACACCTGTAGCGTCAACATTTTCCTCTTCGTCCTCCGAATCTCCCAGATAATTATCAAACTGCCAAGGAAAAAAAAAAGACAAAACAGTAATTAAATATACATGTTTACAAACATATATTCTCTTTACACAGAAAAGTTCATTCACAACTAGACATTTACATATTGCTAAGCTAACATCACATTACCCTTATAAGCATAAACATATAGGCCTAGCACACACCTATTAGGTAAAATGGTCTAACAATTGTTTCCAATAAAGTTTGATAGTAGCATGTTGCTAAGCTATAACAACAGTTCAGTGTTAACAGGTTAGCTTAGCATACGTTGATGATCTTAAAAAGGCACAGTACAGATAAATAATATGTCAAATGGTCCTTTTATTTTAGATTAAAGTCTTGATTCAATTGATTCCAAAAAGAGTTTAAAGTTAACATTAGCCTAGCATATTCTAATGATCTTAAACATGCATAGCACAGACAGATATTACGTAAAAGTCCTTTTTACCTAATTGAATTCTTGACTATTTCCAGCACTTTAACGTTAGCATTAGCTTAGCATACTCTAATTACCATAAAAATGCATAGCACAAAAATATATATAAAATAAAAATAGTCCTGTTTTATGAAGTATTGACTCAAGTGACTCCAACAGAGTATAACGTTATCGTTAGCTTTGCATACTCTGAGTTTAAAAATGCATGACACACAAATGTTGTATTTTTTTATTAGACTGAAGTCTTGAGTTTAAAGTTAGCGTTGGCATACTCTAAGGTTAAAATGCGTAACACAAACATTAAGTAAAATAGTTATTTTTTATTAGATTGAACTTTTGACTTTATTCTAATAATTTATAAAAAAAAAAATCTTATCTTATCATAATCTAATGAGCTTATATACACACAAACATTAAGTAAAATAGTTCTGAATGAAATAACAGCCTGTTTATAGGCATCTTGCATGAATTTTCATCATATTGTAAACACATCATACATCATATATAATTCTGGGATTGGATTCTCTGTGGAAGATATATGCAATGCTGCCTTAGAATATATGCAAAAGTGAGTGTTCTTCAAAGGCAGATTTATGTTGCTTTCAACATTAAAATACGGTCTTGGGAAGTAGCTTGTTAGGTTTTGGTTTTGAATGTCCTGACCGTTTACCTTCACAGGTCTGTCTGGAGCAGAGCTTGATGGGCCGCCCAGTCTTCCTCCAACACAACCGCCATCCAACAGCACCTATACAAGCACACAAACTCACTATCTCATTTCCTTTAATGATGCTCTGAAATGACAGCAGCTATGAGAATCGGTGTGATTACAATCAAAACAACATTATAATCAATACGGCTCTTTTTCTCTCCTTGTGGCGGAGAGCTAAGCAATGCATTTTTAGCATTGACTGGCCTGGGATGTTGGCTGATGTGCTTTGCGTTATTGACAGTAACTGGTGCTGTGGCTTGCCAGAGCCCCACTGAGATCAATACGCAAGCCAGGCGGGAGTCTTAAGCACCGTTCACACACACACATACACACACAGACAGACCGATAAGCAAAACACACATTGCAATGAAGCCATTCAATACACTGAGAGGAGAATTCCAAAAGCCTTGAGGAAGAAATACACCAAAAAGAGGGAAAATAAAGAAAAATGGCCAATGCTACATTGCTATAATAATTTCTGAGTGAAATTAAACATGTTGATATGTGGTTGCTAGGTAGTTGCATTCAGAAGAAAAATGAGCGTGCTTACCAGTACAAAAATCCCCACCATAACGCAAGGTTGTTATGCATGGTGGCCAGAGCATTGCTATTGCTAACAGGTTCTGATTGGATTTGAACATTTCTATGAGGCTGCTTATGAGGTTCTATGTTGTTGCTAGGCTGTAAAAATATGAGTGGCACTTAAGCATAGAAAAATCATCATAACTCTAAGTTGTTATGTATGGTTGCCAGAGCGTCGCTATATGATTGCTAATAGATTCTGTTTGATTGCTAATAGATTGTGAATTGTATCCTGTTGCTGTGTCATTGTTAGGCCATTGCATTCTGATAAAAATATGACTGGCGCTCATAGGTTGTTTTGCATAGTTGCCAGAACGTTGCTATACGGTCACTGAATGAATTTTAATGTGCTGATATGTGGTTGCATTCTAAGGAAAATGTGAATGGTACCTTGTTCAGTGTCTATGAAGCCCCTCCTTCCAAAAAGTGTAATGTGAAACCACTTTGAGCGTGTTTCTGAAAAGTCACGCCCCTTACCATAACCTTGAGTTTCAACACACTACTAGCGCAACTCAACTAGGCCTTTTTTTGAGTATGCCTCAAGACTACAATCAAGGCGTTTCAGGGAGTTCAGAAACAGTGCTGGACAGTGAAGGACCTGTGTGTGTGTGTGTTAAAGCAGAAGACTTTGACTGAAGAGAAGGAGAGGTCTGCCTGAACCTCTCCCAGTAAAGACTGACGGTTCGAGCGGTTTGAATCTATAAGGCGGTGACCTCTTCCTGATCAGCGGTCGGTGAGCAGCGATTCGCCTGTCCCATCCTTCGGTATACGCTCTCCTCCATCTCTGTCACTCCATCCTCTCTTTGTCGCTCTCGGCTGCTGTCCATCGCTCTGTCTTCATGTCCTCTAGGAGCAGTCAAACGCGTATCCCTCACGTTCTCTGCAATGGGAAACGACAGTGAAGACCACAGGCGAAGGATTTACGGACGTATCCGAGGAAAGAAGATGTATGTGGAGTTCAGTATGCTCACCTGGGGTCAGGTGTGTGAAGGTGGACAGGAACTGCTCATACGTTTGCTCCGGGGAGTTGCAGAACTGCTCCAGAGCTTCAGTCATGGCTTGGTCATGGTTGTCCACAACTGAGCCATTAACTAAACCTGGCATCCTGTCAAACCTATCCACATTGAGAAAAGAAACAGAGAAAGAGATATTAAAAGAGATGTTTGTTTACACCATGCAGACCTTGAAGAAACCCAGAGAGCCTGAACCAAGCCAAATGAAAAGGAAGTATTGGTATAAAAACCTAAGAAAAAAAGAATGATGAAGGGATTCTGCTAGGCTGCACTTTTTTACAGGTCACTTATCATCGGCGATATGCATTATAGCTGCATTAGCCCTGATTGGAATAAAATTATCATTTTGAAGTTCAGCTTAATTACAATCAATGACGGCTGGGGAGGGGGGCGGGCAGTGATTGCCGTGACATTAAAATATAATGAAGAATGGCGTGATAATCGTCAGAAACTACGAGCTGTCGCCGTGTCATTCATCACGAACACGCCCCAGGGAGAGCCTTCTTCAGGTGGCACAACATTAGCAGGGACAGAAACAGGTGCTACACTAGAGTCTAATTACTCTCCTCTATCAATAATACAGCGCAAGTCCTGGCTTCAGGCGTCAGCTGCACTGCCGGTCCACCTATTCCTTCTCTCTTGGAATACATCCATACTATTTCTGCAATTTACAGTATATAGGGCCAGATTTACTAACAGCTTGTGCCAGCACAAATCCTCTTTTGGCGTTAAAAAACTAAAGGATTTACTAAAGACACGCAGTGAAAAAATAGCGCTGAAAAGGCGTGGGCAGAGTTATTTTTGCGGCTGACCTTTTTGCATATGCATTTGTAGGAGATTCTCTTTAGGTGCTCTTTCGTCAATTTACTGGTGTTTGCGCCATTATTTACCTGCAAAAAAAAGCACGTCTTAAACCAGATGCTAACTGTTGGATTGCGTTGGTTATTATGTAACTGATCTGAGAGCATCTGTGTTCTTTGATTTGTATGTCATCAGTAGATCACGCCAGAGACAATTTATATAGAGACATGCCACTTCCTCAATCCTTAATACAACTATATAGGGAAAACCCGTAACGCCAAAGATGGCGGTTGTCTGGACACGCCCCGCCCCTCCCGCTGGAAAGCCAATCGTCTGCTTTTAACAGTCAAGCCGGGAAACATTTAAGCCTATCGTCTGGTTCCACTGACGCATGCGCACAGTTGAGGTTTGCGACAGCGCAAAATACGAAAAGGCGGCAGATTTGATATGCAGTGTATGTGTGAGTTGTGTAAATATCAGACATCAGAAGTCTCACGCAGATTGATAGCGGCTCCCTGATGCCCGCAAATTAGCTCAAATCTCCCGGAATCTAGAGCAAGCGAGCAAGAGCTCGCACATACTGTACTGGGCTTCAAACTGTGTAGCGCGCGCACGAGAGAGAGGGAGAGAACCCTTGCGCATGCGTAGTAAAAGTATAACCTGTGGGGAAAAAGACGTTTTAAACCTTATTTTGGGGCAAAGTCATCAAACTTTTTCAGCGATTTTTATCATATTTTACTGCTGTTTCTATACATGCAGTTTTTATGTCCCGGTGACCAGTGAAACTGCAGTTCTGACTCTCTTCCCATTCATTTAGATAGGAGCCTGGTCTTGTTAGTCCGAAATAGCTGCCCGGAGGCGATATTTTTTTTCACAGGATGGTAGGGGAAGACTCATGAATATTCATTAGGGAACTCATCCCTGATTGGTCTTAACCATAGACTGTAAAAAATGGTCTTAACCCCAGTGACTGGTAGGTTTAGGGGCGGGGTTAGGGGGTAGGTCATCAGACCAATCAGGGATGAGTTCCCTAATGAATATTCATGAGTGTTCCCCTACCATCCTGTGAAAAAAAATATCGCTGCCCGGAGGCGTTGCCAAGATGGCGGCAATTATCCAAGTGGCATGACTTGCCTAAAAGGACTTTGATCACGCGCAGAACTTTCCACTCCCATCGGCACTGTTTTGGAATTCTGCTCTCACGCTAATCTGCCCTGTTTAGTATATCTGGCCCACAGACTGTTAGTTCTGCATGCATGGAATACCCAGATTTGCTAAAAAGTGCAGTATAGGAAGTGTGCGAAGTCCTGGATACCACAATGTACTGCATTTAATTAGACCTTCCATTTCAGTCATATCAGCTTAATTTTATAACCACCTAAAACAAGGTTAAAATGTGTATCATTGCATGCATACTATTTTTAAAGAATAATACAGTATACCAATGTTGTTTTTGGTAACTAAAACTAAATTGTTTATGTTTATTGAAATAAAGCTGAAATATAAATATTAGATGAAAAACTTTAAATCAGAAAGGTTGTATTCGCAACAAACTGACATAAAACAGGTTTGAGTTGAAGTACTTAGGTTAGAATAGCTACTAAAACTGAAATAAATATAAACGAATGCTAGATTCTCCTGGAAATTAGTTTTTGCAGGGTTGCATGTCTGATATCAAATCATTGCATTCGGACCAAATTCAATGATTGGACGAACATTTTGTGGTCCTACGCCTTCCGCAGACGATATATATATATAAACATATAAATACATTTAGACCACTTAACTTAGTGATTGCTATAATAAAAAAAAAATCTGGAACAAATCACCTACCCTGCTTTAAAGGATTTGAACAAATTGATTCTTTAAAATGAATCGGACACCAAACAAGAAACTAAATGCTATATTATAATTAATGAGGTCTGAAAGTGATATCTTCGTTCATTATAATGCAAGCATTGTAGTTTTGTTGTGTTGTGTTGCGTTTCAGTCTCCCTTCCGACTCTTTGTGACAGAGCTGGCAAACAACAGCATTTATTTGCCTGCTCCGTATGCAAATCCGCTACAGGACTCAACAGGTTTTTTTTACAGCATCTGTAAGTGTGAACACCGGCATGTAAGTGCACTTGAGCAGGAGAATAAAGCTCTCCTATGCGCTTGGAGACACCGGAGGAATTCTTTATGTGTGTGTTGCGCCTCAGGGGAGTCGCTCAGCCTCCTCTTCATGGCCCTGCTCTTCAGACACAGGTGCTCCGCTGTTTGTGTTTTTCAGTGTTCTTCCAGGCACTCGTGGTTACGGGTCTTTGTTTTTGCACTCTCGCACACACACACACACACATTTCTCGGCCTCCAAAACAAACACGCAACTGCACGAGGGCTCGCGCAAACGAGCACAGCCCCCTGAAACACAAAAACATTATGCTAATGAGACCGGCACAGCTGTTCCCTTCTTCTCCCTCTCTCTCTCTTTCTTTCAACACCAGTCGCCTAATTTCTTTCATTCCTTTAAAGAGCCGCCAAGCAGAAACAGTTAATGCAAATATAAGCCTGCGGGAAATAAGGAGTATTTTTACAAATCCGAGCTACCCCTCCTGCCAAAATGTGATGTGTGACTCACGCATTCTGTATTTGGTGTAATGAGAGTGAATCATTCTGCTCCTCACTGAACCTGATTGCACACAGACCACTCAGAAACACAGAGGAGACTATTTCAACAGCACATTACATAGAGACGGGCAACACTGTCACAGATGCAATTATGAAGAGTGTGATTTTGGTGTTGAATGCAGGTCATAAAAGAACTCGAAATCTGTCTGATGGCACAGGAAAATCTGTGCAACGTGACGCAATCTCAGCCAATAAAAGATATTTGGACACTTTACAATTCGAGTGCACTAATATGCATTAATTCATGCTTAACTAATGCACAGATAATCACATGTTAATGTATGACTCATGAGGAACTAAACCATTTATTAATGATTACTGCATCAGCAACTAATAAAGAGTCTATATGATTGATAGATTAAGTAATATATGAATTGCTATTGACTAAATAATTCCTTAACACAGGGGTCTTCAATGTTTATCAGGACAAGGACCCCTTAACACAGTATTAAAGGGTAGGCAATTTGTTTTATAAACACTTTTTGTGAAACTGGTTTAAACTTTTGATCACGTCCTCAAACTCAGATTTATGCGTTTCTATGTGAACACTATCAACGGGGAAATGAATTTGTAGCAGTCAGGTTGTGCAAGTAGAGCTCTGTTAGTTGTTTATGTTCATTATTTTTGTAATGTTATGTGCTTTGAGACATGAGGTAATTTAACACTGTCTCTTGTGACGCTTTGCACAAACTGCTGTGCGTTCATGTGTTTTGAAGGATGTGTGGCTTTGGAGACACTCTGAAGGGAGGGTGGGATCTCATGCTTTCAAAGCTAACTTGCTATTGCTAGCCACTCTGCAATTGCCTACGTCACCTTTAACTAATAGTGTAAATGAATGCGTTAATTACCACAATTGGTCAAAACTATGTACTTCAACTTTCAGTTGTCTGCTTTAATTAATCATTAGCTAATGATTTGCTAATTGCAAATTTGGCACATGACTATTAACTAATAGGGGATTATCACGCTTCCGGGTTTCATGGGCGGGATTTGTCAACTTTGTGCATGTCCACTTCCGACGCAGTTCAACAATGGCTGAAACGAAGGCTAGATGTCACTGCTCTGTTCCACTTTGTAAATCTAACCAACAACGCTAACCCTACTTAAGTTCTCATGGATTCCCGACTGAATTGAGTATAAGGAAGAAGTGGAATAAAGCGGTGCGCCGGGATTAAGGTCCAAACTTTAAAATAAAACAAGGTAGCACGTTTGTTTGTAGCCGGCACTTTAGTGAATCAGACTAATTTACCAGGGATGCCGTATAAATAAACTTAGTGTAGTCCGTCATCAGTTTGCCAGAGTGATCGGTGATTCAACGGAAGTGGCAGTGCACAAAGATCACTGAATGCGGAAGTACTACGTATCAGCGTGATAATCCCCTATTGTTAAGTAATATGCCATTATGGTTATGGGTTTTGACATCCCCTCTAAAGGTCAGTAGGGCAGTTGCACAGTGAATGTAATGTCACAGAATGTGTTTGAAGGATGGGTAAGTTGGGAAGCACACAAATATCAGCACACCAGAATCTGAACTACTGACAGCTACACCGTAATTAAACTGGACATGACCATTATCGCGTCATGCCACAACAGCTGTCTACACTGGACGTCACCACTGCAAGTCCATTTGTCCTTCGTAACAGAAGTAGAGCAACAGCTTGTAGTACATCAGAAATAGAATATGGCATCAGTTTACTGTGGGGGTTTTGTTGTGTTGTGTGGCGTCGCACCACATCCACTTATTATAATGGGTTCTATTGTCTTTGTCCGATCTAGACAGTGTTATGAAATAGCAGTGCCTGGCTGCATGTTCTCAGTGTTCTGCCTTTAAATCCTAGACCTCAAGATTAACCTGACATATTCCTGCACCATGAACAACAAGGTACTGGATGCGGCAGTTCATCTGGCACAGAGGAATCCGGTTGTAGAAGGGTGGAAATTGAAATGCATGGCTTAGTGTGGAATGATGTCAAAACCAAAATGACATAATACTTAATTAGTTTATGTGCCTCAACAAGAAAAGTCGTTACATTAGAATACCTTTGCAAATCATTAGCTAATGATTAATTAATGCAGATGACTGGAAGTTGAAATACATGGCTTCTTCGACCCATTGCGGTAACTAACACATTTATTTTTTATGCTATTAGTTAATAATATACGTTATTTAGGAATTAACATATTATGACACATTTAATTAATAACAATTCATATATTACTTAATCTATTAATCATATAGAATCGTTATTAATTGCTGATGCAGTAATCATTAATAAATGGTTTAGTTCTTCATGAGCCATGCATTAACAAGTGATTATCTGTGCATTAGTTAAGCATGAATTAAGGCATATTAGTTCATGCAAATTGTAAAATTTACTGGTATTTGATGTTTAATTGAGTTATTTGACTTACCATGATGTGAGTTATAACTTAACAATGTTTTGATTTATTGTTAAACATGAGTTATAAGGGAGCAAAATGTATATAAATAATTAATATTATTATTATTATAACAAGTGCCAATCACGCTAGTGTCACCATGGTAAGTGTACATTTTGGAAGATGAAAGTTACATCTGGGAGATCCATACTTACGCAACTCAGCTGATTTGCAAACTGCCAAGTAAATTATCATCAACTGAACTGTAAAACACAAACATAAAGTCCATATTAATACAGAAGCCAATAATACACTGAGTTTGTACTTGTTTTCATTCAAACTTGTGCGAGTTGTGTTCAAACACCTGTTGTTAGCAGCAGTTACAGGCAGTTAACCTCAAGATGAGCCAGTCAACCTTCACAAACACAGAACCTCTGCCACTGTCACTAAACCATTTGCTTTAATATCTCAAATAAAAGTTAGCAGCACCAAACAGCTCCCAGATTTCGGAGTGCATTGACCAGGAGGTAAGAAATATATACATATTATGAGGATGATTGAATATTGTTAAGACTAGAGATATAGCCTATGGAATATTTAGAATGTGGTATTCTGGTGCCATCGAGTAACGTTAACGTTAGAATTCAAATAAGCACGTAGGTTAATGACGGGTTTTTATAATATAATTATTAAAGTATGTCGTGATTTAAAATATTGTTATCTTCAACTTGTTGTATCACTTGTGTTGACAGCCAGCGCTTGCTTAACGTAACGTTCCTTGTTTAATAAATAAAACATCTCTAATTTGATTACCTAAAGCCATTAAAACGAATCTAAAAAGTGTAAAAAGGAAAAACGCTGCTAGCTGTTAGAAGACAGAAGGAGAAAAGGAGAGAGGAAAGCTTATAAAAAATATCTCAGACGTACCGTTTAAATGTAGAACGAGAACCGCCAGTTTCGCATTGGATGCTGGGTAATGTAGTCTTTTTATTACAAGCTTAACGCGATTATCTAAGAAAAACGGTAATAAGGAAAACTACAACTTGCTTCCTGTGGGAATGTTTCTGTTATTATGGAAACAGGGAAAGGGTTATATGGTTCCGCATTTTTTTCATACTTTGATTTTTTTTTTTTTTTGTTAATTGCATACTACTCTTACTAATAGGAGGAGTATTATGCTGGTATGCTATTCAGAATTCATCCTTACGATCTGTGCAATTGACCTGAATTTTATTATGTAATATTTTATTTAGCAATAAAAATAATGTTGTTGTTTTTTATTATATTTTACAGAGCTCACTGCAAAAAGATGTCATTAGAGCCAATAACTGCTGTGAACTGTGCCAGCCTTGTGCAACCAGGCTTCTCCTTACTAGAGCTGGAGGGTGATGTTTACCTCTTTGGTCAAAAGGGCTGGCCGAAACGCTCATGTCCAACTGGTGTATTTGGTGTCCGCATAAAAAATGGAGAACTTAAGCTGCGAGCCATTTCATTTTCAAACAACTCTTGTTATCTCCCTCCCCTCCGATGTCCTGCGGTAGCTCATTTTGAGCCTTGTGATGGCAGCCCTGAATGTTACCTCATTCATGGTGGCCGAACTCCTAACAACGAACTGTCTTCAAGTCTCTACATGTTGAGTGTAGACAGTAGAGGATCTAATCGTAAAGTCACATTGCAATGTCAAGAAAAAGAGCTGGTTGGAGACGTCCCTAGCGCTCGATACGGCCACACCCTCAGCGTGATCCATAGCCGAGGGAAGACCGCCTGCGTTCTGTTTGGCGGCAGGTCCTATATGCCCCCCACCGAAAGGACCACAGAGAACTGGAACAGTGTGGTGGACTGTCCACCTCAAGTCTTTCTTATTGACCTAGAGTTTGGTTGCAGTTCAGCCCACACCCTCCCCGAGCTCACAGATGGGCAGTCATTTCACGTAGCTCTAGCGAGAGAGGACTGTGTCTACTTTCTGGGCGGTCACATCCTCAGCTCTGATTGCCGACCACCTCGCTTGATCCGCCTACGTGTGGAGCTTCTCCTAGGAAGCCCTGTCATCACCTGTAATGTTCTTCAAGAAGGTCTCTCCATCACCAGTGCCATAACCTCTCCCGTTGGCTATCATGAGTACATTATTTTAGGCGGGTACCAGTCTGAGACTCAAAAGCGCATGGAGTGCACCTACATTGGCCTGGATGATGTCGGAGTCCACATGGAGCCACGCGAACCTCCGCAGTGGACCAGTGAAATAAGCCACAGCCGTACTTGGTTTGGTGGCAGCCTGGGCAAAGGAAGTGCCTTGTTTGCAGTCCCATCAGAAGGAAACCCAACCCCACCAGAAGCCTACCATTTCTACCAGGTAAACTTCCAGAAGGAACCAGATGGAGAAGCATCAACTCAGGGATGCAGCCAGGAGTCCACTGACTTTGAGGACTCTGCACCTTTGGAAGACTCCGAGGAGCTCTACTTTGGCCGAGAGCCTCACGAGCTGGAGTTTAGCAGCGATGGAGAGGGTGCCACTTACAATGAGGAAGATGAGGAGGATGAATCTCAGACAGGCTATTGGATCAAGTGCTGCCTCTCCTGTCAGGTGGACCCCAACACCTGGGAGCCCTACTACTCTACTGAGCTCACCCGACCTGCCATGATCTACTGCTCCAGGGGTGAAGGTGGACATTGGGTCCATGCCCAGTGCATGGAGCTCCCTGAAAACCTTTTGCTTCGCCTCTCTCAAGGCAATAGCAAGTATTTCTGTCTGGATCACGGAGGCCTGCCCAAGCAGGAGATGACTCCACCACGCCAGATGTTGCCATTGAAGAGAGTCCAAATGAAGATGACCCATCGCAAGGCTCCAGTCTCACTGAAAATGACCCCAGCTAAGAAGAGTTTTCTGCGAAGACTTTTTGACTGAAATGTTGTTGTTCTGTTCTGTTATATATCATGATATAATATCATTTTACATTGTTGTTGAAGCTTATTTTGTTGTTCATTTTAAGAATATAAATAGATTTTTATATTAACAAAAATTGGAGAAGTGTATTTTTCATACTGATAAAAACAACAGAAATGAATGGTTAAATCAATGAAAATGCTTATGGCAGTATTAAATGCATTTTTTTTACAGATCTTGTTTATTATTACTAAGCTGATTGTTGCTTTTTTAAATGTGGGGGAAAATTGTAGAGTATGATTTTCTGCTTTAATAAAGATAATTATGGAGAGATTATATTTTAACCTCATGTTTTGCTTATAATTATAATATATGCACATATTATGCAAACACATTAGATAAGTCAATAACGTGTGTGTGTGTGTATATATATATATATATATATATATATACACACACACACACATTCAAGAACATATATACAGTATATATATATATATATATATATACATACATGTTCTTGACTTATCTAATGTGTGTTTGTATATATTTATATTCACATTCAAGAACATACATACATGCATTATATATATATATATATATATATATATATATATATATATATATATAATGCATGTTCTTGAATGTGAATGGAACATCCATGTCAGTCTCATCTACTCTGTTTGTCTCCAACCACATACAAGAGGACACACACACCAAAAATATTACAATCTCAATTCAATTTTTGGTGATTTTATTTTATTTACCAGATGGAATTGAAGAAAAAAAAGTCATTTATTACAAACCAATTATATTCAATAATTAAGAAAAAGTCCATAAGTTCATGAATTACAACAATCACTGTAATGTTCTTGCACAATGAAAGAAAAAAAATAACGATAGGTCATTACAAGAACATCAGTGCCCTTGTGCAAGTCTACACAAATTTTGTACAATTACGAACAGTGAAATACAGTGTTTTATTTCAAATTTAAAAAATAACAAAGCAATTTAAACAGATATGTAAAGTTTTACACACACTATTTAAAACATATTTTTAATAGAATTATGTGAGGTACCTTTGTTTTTTTTAAACGTACCCAAAGTACAAAGAAAAAATTCAAGCATTTAGAAATGTTGTATAATCAAAGAATGCAACGACATAATTCAAATCATGACAAAGAAATCAATCAAGTAAAGACAAAGAAATCAGTAAAATCACTTCACAAAGAAATCAATCAGTTCAAGTCGAAGTAAAAAGTGGATCACTGAAATCCTCTCGTTTTAAGAGAATACAATAAACACAATGAATTAAACAAAATAAGAGAAACATGATTAATAAATTAAGGTACAAGTTTGAGATGAACAGAGCACATATCTCTGAACTGCAACACAAAGAAATTCTGACAATAGTCAATAGGTTTTATTGAGTAAAATACACTGCCGTTTCTTCAAGAATATTTGAAAATGTGTTTGTGTGAATGGCATGGTGCAAATGTCCTGAGGGACCTGTAGGATTGAAGACTGAGGTAGAAATATAGGGTAGGGTCTAAATAAATGTGCAAATGCTGTAGCATAGTGTCTATGGGAGTCATTTGTGGACCAGTTGAGCACCATCAAAATAAATGCATTGCTAAAATAATCCTTCTCTAGACCTCCTGCAAAGGAGACAATTTGCATTTCTAATTTCATTATGTCTTTGTCCTGTGTGATATATTAGTACAGCCATCATAAATGTGGGGATCCTTTAACACAATTTCAGTGACTTACAACTCCCTCATAAGTTTTCATAAACAACCCTTCTGGATGAATTCGTGAAGTTGTCACAACCTGGCAATACAATGAAATCCCTCATATTTCACAAGCAGCAAGAGATAAAACACAGACAATTTGCCTGTAAAATCTGGGCAGAAAAAAAAAGCTCTGCCCATATAATTTTATCTCTGCCATAAAACAATTTAGCTCACGTTTATGCACTGGCTTCAAAAAAATAATGAATTGAATAATAAAGCCATTAAACGTGATATTACATCTCATCTCAAGAAATAAAATCAATTACTGAACAATATTTTCATTAGCAAGAAAAATGGTCCATTAAAGAAAGTCAATCAGAGAAAAAAATCAAAAATCTGGAACGTCAAGAGCCACATCAACTTCATCTGGGGTCTCTTCTGGGTTAAATGTGGCTTGCATTGCTTTTGCTGAATTCTTATGAGCCTCCATAAACTTCTGAAGATACTTGGAGGTGTACAGCCAGTGGTGTTTCAGTACATCTTCAAGTTCAAACGTTTTGGACTGCCTCGCATTCATCTTCCTAAAACGTCTGAACAGCTTGTTCCCAGACTCATTGCCTTCACTGGCCCATGCTCCGATAGACCCGTCTCTCTCTACAATCTCAGGAACATGGGCCAGAGTCTTGTGGAGGTAGTTGGTAATCTTTCCATCATAGCGGTACTTAAACGTGGTGGAAAGGAGGTCAGCAAATTGCTGAGAGTTGTAGCTATATCGACAGAGTTGGTCAGGGCAGTCTCGGGAGGGACAGGTGGATCGCCACACAGGCTTCATCTGGACGTAGAGTTCCATCAGTCTCTGTAGTGCCTTACGTCGTTCCTCTGAAGGAACCAACTCACAGACCACCTCCACAGCCTCGAGTGTCATCAGCCGGCGCGCATAGTTTCCATTCATCCTCATCACAGGCTTGAGTTTCAGTTTGTTTCTTAGCTGTTTGTCCAGGGTTGACCGCCAACGACGGCGTTCCTCTCGACTCGGATTGCTCCTCTGGTAGACTTCGCCGATCTCATCCTGAAAGATCTTATAGAATTCAGTCGCATTGCCAATGTCGCAGTGCAGGGCATCCAGAGTAGGCAGGGTCTCCATGAAAGGCTTTGCGGAAACCCCTTTGACCCGGTCACGGAGTTCATCAGCAGACTCTGAGAAAGGATTTTTCCTCCAGATCTCGTAGCGCTCAAGATTTTCATCGTGGCTACGTGTGATGGAATGAAGCACCATGTTTTGAGAGGCTTCAGCTCGGGTTGAGTCGCAGAGTGTGCATACATAAGTGGAGCCTGATGCTTCTAGTCCTTCCATTTCACGAACCATCTTCTCATCATAGCCTGTACCCCGGAAGAAGAATCTAAATGAGCGTAGCAGACCACCAACAGATATGATAAGTCGACTTTCCATCATGGCTTTCCGCTCTGCTACCACAGGTCCCAAGATTGCTGTCAGGGTCTCGTGGTCGGACTCATCCACAAACATGAGGCACAGAGGTCTACAAGAGAGCTCAGAGTTTGGCTTTGGTTCTTGGAAGATGGTGATGCCATCATCCTCACCCTCAACTCGGATGGAGATGGACATGACTGTGAAGGAAAACCTCACTGCCTTCTCAGGAACCGCTGGACCATTTCCATGCTTCTCGCTGACATCTCCCATACCATCACATGATTCTTTCACCACCACAGTAAAGCCAGAGGTGCAAATGCTGTCATCTAGCCCCCTCTCTCTTAGTCCTTCCATTATGTCCTCCTCCAGGTCTTTTAATGCAGAAACCAGTGCCACGTCGTAGCGGAATCGTCTGGAAATGGTATCCGCAGGGACATCCTCAACAAAGGTTGTCCAACCAGAGAGACCATCAATGATGCCCACATCCCAGGAGCTGGAAACGTTTTTTAAAGCTGGCTGCCATTCAAATTGGTGGAACCCGGGGAGAAGCTCTTTCTCAGCATTGCGTAGTGTGTGCAGGGGCTGGAATATCTGGCGGCCACTAGTGGCCTTCACAGTGCGATACATCTTGTGGTACTGACTGCAGCTAAGGAAGGTGTTGACTCTTATTGCCAAACACACTGCAGGATGCAGACCAAATCCCCTGCCTGAAAGAGAATACAAAGGGAAAACAAAACTGTGTGAGATAGAGTCAGATGTTTGAATTCACAGAACTGTTTATCCAGAATAAACTCAAAATAAGTGAGACTGTGAGCCTAAATGTGTGATTATGGACCGATTTCAGAGCACCAGCAATTGAATGCAACAATCTCTGTAATTCTGATTATAGCTGCAGCATGGAATATGTCCTAATTGTTCTAGATCAGAGAGATTATTAATGCTTAAGTTAGAAGAGAGGTGACTCAGCTGGGCTGGAAATATTGATATTGGCTGCTGATGAAAACAGGCACCAGCTGGGCCCTGTTCCCCTGGGGGTTTAGACAGTATCTATGTCATTTGCAGATAGAAGGCCTACTGATGTTGTTTTCATCCTAACAGGCCCTTTACAAGAATTGTTATTGAGTATTGAGTCTCACACACACTACTAGTCAAAAGTTTTGGATCTGTCAGATTTTTTATGTTTTTAAAAGAAGTCTCTTCTGCTCACCAAGGCTCCGTTTATTTTATTAAAAATACAAAAAAAAAGAATAATATTATTGATAATATGAAATATTATTACAATTTAAAACAGCTGTTTTCTATGTAAATATATAGTAAAGTGTAATTTATTCTTGTGATCAACAGCATCATTACTTCAGTCTTCAGTGTCACATGATTCTTCAGAAATCATTCTAATATGAGGATTTGATGCTCAAGAAACATTTCTCATTCTCATTCATCAATGTTGAAAACAGTTATTTTAATTCAGGATTCTTTGATGAATAGAAGGCTCAAAAGAACAACATTTATCTGAAATAGAAAGCTTTTGTAACATTAAACACTACCGTTCAAAAGTTTGGGGTCAGTAATAATTTTTATTTAATTTTTTGGGGGGAAATAAATCAAATAAATCAATACTTTTATTCATCAAGAATGAATTACATTTATCAAAAGTTACAGTAAAGACATTTATAATGTTACAAAAGATTATATTTCAAATAAATGCTGTTCTTTTGAACTGTCTATTCATCAAAGAATCCTGAAGAATTTTTTTTTTTTAACATTGATAATAATAATGATTTTTTTTTTGTGCATCAAATCCGCAGATTAGAATGATTTCTGAAGGATCATGTGACACTGAAGACTGGAGTAATGATGCTGAAATTCAGCTTTGATCAAGGAATAAATTACATTTTAAAATATATTAAAATAGAAAACAGTTATTTTAAATTGTAATAATATTTAACAATATTACTGTTTTTTTTTTTAGCAGAAGAGACTTATTTTAAAAACATTAAAAATCTTACCAATCCAAAACTTTTGACTGGTAGTGTGTGTGTGTGTGTGTGCACATTCAGTAAAGTGGTGCTTATTCTATTTAAATTGACAGTGAGGCACATAGGAAAATAATCCATTAATTTTTGTGTAGATAACCTCATGGATGTGTTTAATTTTGCATATCTAGTTGCAGGTAA